GTTCAGAACCCTAACCTCACGTCTTGGAATTGGGACGCGAGGTTGGGTGTTGACTGAACATAAAAAACACGAGGACCGATCGCGTTCGGCTTGTTATAGCTTGGAAACACAGGGGTCGCCTGCATTTCCAGAATTGTAACGCGGTGATGAATTCCGCATTTTTAGAAGGGGTTAGTTAATTTGTAACCTCTCCTACAGAGCATTGCAAGGACCGTTGTTCATTAATCCTAGCTTTAGCTGTTGTGGGGTGTGGAAGTCGTCAGGTTGTAACTTTTACTGTAGATTGTAAAGATTGCTGAATATAGTTTTTATCAGTTGTAGGAAGCGCCGTTGATTTGTAACTCTTCTCGCTCTATGTAAAAAGTCCTCCATTTGCAGCTTTCGTTTGTTGGCATGAAAACTATCTGATCGTAGCTTTTCATTATTGAAGCTTGATGGGGATCAGCTATTCATTGTGATTTTTAGACAGCTTATATGAATATTTGCCCACAGCTCTCTACCAAGCAACTCACCAACTAAGTCCAACCTTTTATTTCTGAAATCATTACACTGCTTATCAGCAGCTCTAATAGTTGCTAATATAATATTAGTCATGTTGTTGTCGCAGCCATCAAGATCAATCATCTTAAACATGAGGCTGTATTTGCAGCGATTGTAGAGTTGCAGATGCAGTGATTTAAAAATTACTTGTGTTCCGATTGTAAGGACGAATTCTTCTTCTTGATTTGAAGGAATCATTGTCTTGTAATCTCTTCTCGATCCATAGGAAAACCCATTGAAAGTCGTCTGATTGTAACTTTTATTGTTGGGGATCAGCTATCCATTATGATTTTTAGACAACCTACATTACGCGCAGCGAAAATTTCGACAGCACTTCGACAGCACAACAAGAGAGTCAGGTCGTAATAGATTTGCTCTCCGTTGACGATCTGACCGTCTTTTATCTCGTGGGAACAATAAACTTCTGTTGAAAGTTTGATAAATAATTCTTAAAGAGTTTTAAGAACTGAGAACGAGTTAGAACTCTGAAACCAGAGTTGTTAAAACCAAAAATTCGGTTAGTGGCCAAGTAAATTTTCTGTTGCTGAAGGATTCCTTTTGATTCAACCCTCTGAATCTGGATTAAATCTTCTGTTTCGAAGAATTTGCTTCTGCTATCTCTAGAGAAAAATCCCAAGCTCCTTATCTCCTTCGGCGGTTTAGATGCTGAAAATCCCACCTCCTTTCTATTGGGTTTGTTAAGGTTTTTATAGGTGGATAAGAGGCTGTAACTACCCTCTAAATCCGCTCCTAAGTGGGCATGATTTCCTTAGATCGTGAGAAAACGGTTCTGAAACCGTTCAACTCGTATTTGAATGAGTCAAATGCCCAATTCGGCGTTCAGAACCCTAACCTCACGTCTTGGAATTGGGACGCGAGGTTGGGTGTTGACTGAACATAAAAAACACGAGGACCGATCGCGTTCGGCTTGTTATAGCTTGGAAACACAGGGGTCGCCTGCATTTCCAGAATTGTAACGCGGTGATGAATTCCGCATTTTTAGAAGGGGTTAGTTAATTTGTAACCTCTCCTACAGAGCATTGCAAGGACCGTTGTTCATTAATCCTAGCTTTAGCTGTTGTGGGGTGTGGAAGTCGTCAGGTTGTAACTTTTACTGTAGATTGTAAAGATTGCTGAATATAGTTTTTATCAGTTGTAGGAAGCGCCGTTGATTTGTAACTCTTCTCGCTCTATGTAAAAAGTCCTCCATTTGCAGCTTTCGTTTGTTGGCATGAAAACTATCTGATCGTAGCTTTTCATTATTGAAGCTTGATGGGGATCAGCTATTCATTGTGATTTTTAGACAGCTTATATGAATATTTGCCCACAGCTCTCTACCAAGCAACTCACCAACTAAGTCCAACCTTTTATTTCTGAAATCATTACACTGCTTATCAGCAGCTCTAATAGTTGCTAATATAATATTAGTCATGTTGTTGTCGCAGCCATCAAGATCAATCATCTTAAACATGAGGCTGTATTTGCAGCGATTGTAGAGTTGCAGATGCAGTGATTTAAAAATTACTTGTGTTCCGATTGTAAGGACGAATTCTTCTTCTTGATTTGAAGGAATCATTGTCTTGTAATCTCTTCTCGATCCATAGGAAAACCCATTGAAAGTCGTCTGATTGTAACTTTTATTGTTGGGGATCAGCTATCCATTATGATTTTTAGACAACCTACATTACGCGCAGCGAAAATTTCGACAGCACTTCGACAGCACAACAAGAGAGTCAGGTCGTAATAGGAATTCTTACTTCACAAAGGAAACAAGAACCTTAAGCAAAATATCTCAACCAAGTGAGATATCAGCTCTTCCTCTTATCAGTTCTAGGACTAACCTATCGAGAGAACCTAAATAAGCTATTACAAAACATACAAAAACGAGATAAACTAATTTTACGTGGTTCGGCAAATTGCCTACGTCCACGAGGCAAGGAGGGGGGAGATCTACTATTAGAGGGAGAGGATACAGCTAGGGTTTACAATCTCACAACCTAAAACCTCAAACAAACTCTCAAATCCCTCACAATATCTCTCTACAAAAGCACAAAAGGACTGCACACAATCACCACTGCTAAAAAATAAATCCTTGCACACCCCAGCCCTCTACCTTTTTCGTACTTGCACCTGCGCACGCAGCCACCAAAAGACTCCCTGTACTTCTCCCCTTTTTACTTGCTCAAAAAATAAAAACCTAGCTAAGTCGATATTTATAAGAGAGAGCTGCTGGTTGTGGGCCGCACCCGCACGTCTCCTTGCCGCCCGCACATCTCCGTAACCACTTCATTCACGTAGTGCCCCCCACGTTACGTTCACAATTCTCCACCTCGGTGAAGTTTTTCCAAAACTGAGCCGACACTAAAGCAACCAAATATCTCACTTGTTGTGTCCAGTACGTCATGAAATAATTCACGACAACGAACTCAATCCATAACAAGTCGAGATCAAAACTAGAATGCGAACACTCTCCAAATTTCGGTATCAACTCACCAAATCGGCTGCATCATAAATGACTGCCTACGTATCCTCTTGCCCAAGGAATCAAGCCTTAACAATCACAAATATGCAACAAGTTTCGATAATGATCAAACTTATTACTAGGAACCACCTAAGTGAGCATATCCGCCGGATTATCCTTCGTGTGAACTTTCACAATCTCCACATCGCCATCTTTAAGAACATCCCGAACGAAGTGTTAACGAACGTCAATGTACTTCATCCTCACATGAAAAACCTGATTCTTCGGCAAATAGATAGCACTCATGCTATCATAATGAATAGTGACAGATCGCTGTGATATACCAAGTTCCTTCAAAAGCCCTCGAAGCCAAATAGCCTCCTTCACAGCCTTCGTAATCATCATATACTCTGCCTCAATCGTAGACAAAGTCACCGTAGACTGTAAGGTGCATCTCCAGCACACCGGCGTACAGGTCAAAGTAAACACATACCCCGTAGTAGACCGACGCTTATCCAAATCCGCGGCATAATCCGAATCAACATAGCCAATGTATAACTGCCCACCTGTAGTGTCCCGATCATAAATTAAACCAACATTAAGCATACCTTGAATGTACCTCAAAATCCATTTCACGGCGTCCCAATAACCCACTCCTGGATCGTGCATGTATCTCGAAACCATGCTCACCGCCTGTGATAAATCCTGCCTCATACATACCATCGCATACATCAAGCTTCCAACCGCGCTCGCATATGGAGTCTTCGACATTAACTCTCGATCTTCAACTGTCTTTGGTGAAAGATCAGCTAAAAGCTTCAATTGAGTTCCCAATGGTACACAAACTAGCTTTGTATCTATGCTAACATGAAATCGCTGTAGAACCTTCTTCAAATAAGCTACCTGTATCAAACAAATCCTACCCTTCTTCTTGTCTCTATCGATCTCCATCCCTAAAATGCGCTTCGTCTCACCCAAATCCTTCATCTCAAACTCTTTTGAAAGCTGTGCCTTCAACTCATCTATAGCAGATCTAGAAATAGAGGCAACCAACATGTCATCGACATAAAATAACAAATAGATGTACGCACCTCCTTTCAACTTGTGAAAATATATGCAAGGATCAAACTGGCTCTGAGTGTACGAATGACCAATCATAAAACCATCGAATCGCCTATACCACTATCGAGGAGACTGCTTTAAAGCGTATAGCGATTTCTTCAAACTGCAAACCAATTTTTCCTTCCCTACAGCTCGGAATCCCAATGGCTGAGTCATATATATTTCTTCATCAAGATCACCATGAAGAAATGCTGTCTTCACATTTAACTGATCTAACTTCAAACCATACTATGCCACCAAAGCTAGCAAAATCCGAATCGAAGAGTGCTTTACCACCGGAGAGAAAACCTCATTATAGTCAATACCTTCCTCCTGTGTATAGCCCTTCACAACCAACCTAGCTTTGAACCTCAATGGAGTGCCCTCAATGCCCTCATTCTTCATGTATACCCACTTGCAACCAATTACCTTCCGCCCCTTTGGAAGCTCAACCAGCTCCCATGTATCATTCTTATGAAGAGACTCCATCTCCTCCTGCATAGCTACCTGCCACGAATCAGCATCCGAACTCTGCTCGGCCTTTCTGAATGTAGTAGACACAATCTCATTGATACTCTCTACCGGAAGTGCATACGCAACTGTGTCAGCATACCGTGTTGGCATCCGTATGTCTCTCCTCTGTCTCCGAACCGTAATAGAATCCTGAACCTGAGCCGTCGGTCCCTGATCCTGCACATCTCTTCATACCCCTTACAATATCTCTCTACAAAAGCATAAAAGGACTGCACACAATCACCACTGCCAAAAAATAAATCCTTGCACACCCCAGCCCTTTGCCTTTTTCGTACTTGTACCTGCGCACACAGCCACCAAAAGTCTCCCTATACTTCTCCCCTTTTTGCTTGCTCAAAAAATAAAAACCTAGCTAAGTCGGTGTTTATAAGAGAGAGCTGCTGGTTGTGGGCCACACTCGCACGTCTTCTTGCCACCCGCACGTCTTCGTAACCACTTCATTCACGTGGTGCCCCCCCACGTTATGTTCACAATCCTCAAACACAATCGCCCTCTTTTGTATGGAACTCCATTCACCATCCTTCATCCCTTCAGGCTTTTTCTCCCCTAAAGCTTGTTCAACACCCTGCTGCACAAGTAGATCATGAACTATGTACTGTCATACTATAAAATTTGTCTTGTTGTTGAATAGGAGAATATCAAACTTCAGACCTGAAGATGTCATCATCTTCTAACTACAACCAAATTCAAATTAGTCACTGTAGAAGTTGAATTTGGTAGGACCAACATAAAAACTAAACTCAACACATAAAAAAAACCCTAGGGACTCCTAGATCATCAAATTCTACCTCTAATTCCCTGATCAGCAAATAAATCAATCTGCACCGTCGATTGGGCAGAACACCAAACACTGCATAGCGTGAAACACCAAAATACCAATAGCAGATCCCAATACATGATCCTCAAAAGCACGTGAATTTTTCTCTGCTCGGTCCTTGTGCAGGATATTCTTTTCCTCCCTATTCTTTCATCCGCTACAAGTTTTCAGGCTAACTAACCCTTTTTAATAAGGAAAACTTTCCTTTGACCCCAACACCAATTAGTACTACAATAGTGTATGGTCCTCTCGTTCACTCGACGTCGATCACCGCGCTTTGATCGCCAACACCTTCTCCAATCACAAACTACTCGAAGCTCCATGAATCGTCACCGTTCTGATACCACTTGTTGTTATTTTTAGATTTCGTAAAAATCTCAAAAATCACCAAGCACAACAAATAAAATCACACAAGATTTACAGTAGAAAACCCTCAATAGGAAAAGATAATGGGATCAAGAATAATTCATTATCACCACCAGATTATAATCTTTTCCCTGGATAAAGATTGCGAAGCCCTCTTTCTTACAATACCCTTGAACCTAGTTACACTCCCTGTTAAAACCTGATTAAAAAAATACTCTCTCTCTCTCTCTCTCTCTCTCTCTCTCTCTCTCTCTCTCTCTCTCTCTCTCTCTCTCTCTCTCCTTGAACCCAATTAAACTCTGTTAAACCATGAGTATAAGAATATTCTCTCTCTCTCTCTCTCTCTCTCCAAAAAACCTAAAATATGGTGTAGTCTTATTTAAAAACACCACTGAATTGCCCACCAAGTCAACTTGGCCTCCAAGAAAATTACTAGGACTAGGCCTAGACTTCAAATCCAGATATAACTAGAGTTTGCGTCGGCACCCAGCATAAAGTACCATTTATGACTTATTTACAGAGGGGAAAAGTTAAATTAACCTCTTTCTTCTGTCTTATCAATCTCATGAGGGTTTTATTTGAATTCTGATAGGTCAACCATTTATGACTTATTTTATATAGTAATAATAAGTGTAGTTTATGAGAAACGATATGTTAATTACATTAAAAATGAGTTATAATTGAATATAAATAATGATTCCTCTACGTCGTCGCAATGAGAGGATCCAAATGACCAAATTCATATTTGATTCCTTAATGACGGCTACATTTAGGTTTTCATATATATGACCTACTAACTTCCTCCAAAAATAGATCATCGATATTGGTAGGCAATTATTACTGAGATTAGTCAAGAATGCTGAATACGAACTCTGTAAATATTTATGTCTTCAAAAAAGCGCTATCAAGGTTTAGATAACAAACACCACTGATCAAAGTCGAACTGATTCAAACACAAAAGTTGAAAGAGCTCTTTATTATGTAAAAGAAATTAGCTAGATCAATACAAGTGGAAAGAGTTTATAATTGAATATATAGGTCCAGCCTTGATTACATAAAGATAAATATGTAGTGGTAGATCCACTCATTTTCGTCCCACACCTATTATTCATTCTCCACATGCATTATACTTTCACACTTATTTTCCTACTATTATATTATCATGCATGGACAATATGTAGCTACAAGAACATGCAAAATAATACATAGCCTTTCACTAGTAACATACATATTGCCATTGGCAAGGCCGAGAGTGTTTAGGTTCACCTCCTCCACCTCCGGGATATCCACCTC